GGGTCCATGAATATCCCATCAAAAGCCATTAAATCCCATTAAATCCCATTAAATCCCATTAAATCCCATTAACAAATTACCAGAGGGTACCCCCATGAGCCAATGGTCTGAGGTTGGAGATTGCCAACAAGGCTGGTGTGGGATGCCTGCCTTGGAGTGCCGAAAATTCATCAGCCAATCATTGGATATCTCGTCAGCAAAAACGTGGATGTGTATATTCATGTGTTTAGATAGCATATACCATATGATTGATATAAAGGTATATGATATAAAGGTATATGATTGATATACACATATGATGTATGTATATATATATGTACATATTCTTACATAGTATTACATATTATATATATATACACATACACTGTGTATATATATATATACATAGTCATAGCGTATGTAACTTTTCACACTCAACAGAAGTTGGGATACTGTAACGACCCCTTCTCAACCATGGTTCTTGGGGTGTTTCAGGAGGCCACTTGGGCTGCACTGCTGCAAAGACATCGCCAGGCAGGTCCGAATCTATGATGACTGGAATGCCATGCTAGCTGTTTGAGCTGGGTGCCGTAGCTACGTTTTATGGTGAACATGCGAAAACTGGGAAGATGAATGGTTTGAAGATGAACTATAGTATACTATACTATATATATATAAAATAACGACATTTCCCTTCGGTATACATCTTAAAATGGAAGGGGGAGGTACTCCACTGAACTGGTGCTGGACATAGCTCGGATCGCTGAACTTTGCCAGATGCTCTCGACATACTTGTCGGATGTCGAAAGAATACTAGCAGGCAGGGCAGCAGCTCCGATACCAAAAATCTTTGGCGGCTGAGTTGCCATGTCCACTTTTTATCACTATTTGTGATGATGATTATGATGATGATGATGATGATGACGACGATGACGATTGCCACTGACCAATATTTTTCTGATGGGTTGAAACCACAAAAATTGTGTCATCTTTCACTCAAGCCTGCCATTGGTCGCGCAGGGTTTTTCTCATCCAATCCATAGGGATTTTTCGAGAAGGCCGCCTTTTTTTTTTGATGGATTCCCATGGCATGGGAGGACCATAAACAATAGCTATGGAAAGATCCACCATTTTATAGCTGGGAAAATCCACTATAACTGGCCATTTTTAATAGCTATGTTAGTTTACCAGAGGGTAGCATCTAACTTGACCATGGCACATATCCCAATATGGTTGGTTATATCCCATTCTATCCCCATGAAAATTCCCATGAAATGTCCGCAGTAGAATCCTCGAACGTTTACAGATTGTTTTTCCCTATCCATTCCTTTCAGCTGCAGGCCAAAAACCTCAATCCAACAGCTCTTGGATCATGATGACCATCTCCGCTGGGAGACCGTGACTGCGTGGCTGCGTGGCTCATCCCACTCCCAGGGATTTACATGAGATACCCGGCCTGGTAAACTAACGTAACGAACTGGAAAATCACAATTTTTAATGGGCAAATCCACTAGAAATGACCATTTTCAATAGCTATGTAAGATTTTTTTTGCAGAGGGTCCATGAATATCCCATCGAAAGCCATTAAATCCCATTAAATCCCATTAAATCCCATTAAATCCCATTAAATCTATAAAAACCCACTGTTGTTGTGGTTAGGTCATTCAGCAGCTTCCATTCCACTACCTGAGGTGAAGTAATCTACGGATCGATCCCTGGGATGACTTGGGCTATTGTTTGAACATGGTGAATCCTATTGGTTAATTACTATAGCCATGAAAATTACTATTGAACATGGTGACTTTTAATCCTCAATAGTAATATGGTTAATCTATTATGAGGATTAATTAATAATGGTAATCCTCATATATTAATCATGCAAGGTGGTGCCCCCCCAGTGTTTGTTGGTTTATAATCCCCATTAACTAGTTCGATAGTTCACCCCCTAATCAACCCAACAGTTATTGGACTAACATAGGCACCAACTTAGCGATTCCGAACTGGGGCACCACCTTGTGCCTAATGGTTAAACTATGGTTAATCAATTCATTACCCTCTGGTAATTTAACGTAGCTATGGAAAATGACCATAGAAATAGTGGATTTTCCCAGCTATAAAATGGTGGATCTTTCCAGTTCGCTATGTAACAAATTACCAGGCCGGGTAAAGTCCATTAAATCCCATTAAACCACCATAAACCCTCATGAAAAATCACCATTTTCCTATGGTTTTCCTATATATACACACTCATGAGGTGGCGATCACTGCAGTGATGCTGCTGGGCGGTTGCATCATTCTTTCGCGGGCCGGGGACCCCGGGGACTCAGGGGCGCCTCCAAGGGAATTGGGAAAATCAGTGGCCCTCAGATCTGGGGGTACACGATTTTCAGACAATCCCATAGAGACATATAATATGGTATAGTATACATATAATGTAATATATATATAATGTAATGTAATATAATGTAAATAAATAAATATATATATATAATGTAATACATATAATCTAAATAATTATATATATAATGTAATATATATATAATGTATATATAAATATATCATTATAATACACATACAAATCATGTAATACATATATATATATAATGTAATATATATATATATGTATATGTACATGTACACATATTCTAGATACAATACCCATCTATACAGATATAGATCTAAAGACCATGTTACAAGGCAAGAACTGAGCGGAACATGTGGGCGCTTGCTGAAAGTTCAAGCAGTTAAAGGACCTTTTATTCGTCCATAGATGGACACTTTACCGGATGCATGTAGGGTGAGGTCGACACAAAATCGATCAACTCTACTACATCTACTATATATGAATATGTATGTTTACATGTATGTGTGTATTGTACTGTAAGGAAGCGTAGTGTAAAGTGTACATATGTGTATGTGCATGTCTATGTGTATGTATAAGATACCATATGTAAATTGTGTAAATACATGTAAATACGTACAGTGCAAACGTGTACTGTATACCTAAAGATCCTTCTTAGTGACAGCCAACTCTTGTTACCGATGTTTGTATAGCTTGTTTCAAAGAAGATTCGCAGCCAAGGTGCACAAGGGTTGGAATGCATCCGTGCTGGCCCCAGAAGGGGTGGATCCAATGTGTTGTTGAGTGTTTGCTGGTTTTATGCCACATGAATCCTCATAGTATCAGCCCACATTTTCCGATACCATGCTATAGTTTCCCCCATTTCGCTTTTTGATCCCCATGCCATGCGTGCCATGGTAAAGAGTTGGATGATGTATCCATATTGGGGGATTGTCATCAATCCATTGATATAGATTTATATGCGCATTATGGATTCCCATGGCATGGGATGGAGGACCATAAACAATATACCATCTAACTTGACCATGGCACATATCCCACATTGTTGGTTATATCTCATCCCATCAAAAATCCCCTCAGTATGGACAAAGCACCGAATCTTTGTTATGTCTCTAGCGGCTGAAAAAAACGCCCATTACGCTACTGCTGTTGCGAGGTATCTGGGACGCAAGCGAGAAGCCAGGCTCGGCCGAGGTTTGTTGGTGGAATTCATCCGACTTTGTGGTGGATTTCTCATTGCCCATTTGTGGAATTTGTAAGCCATACTTGGCCATATTCAAGCTATACCTCCTCATTTTGTTGAATCCCCACAGCTCACCATATCTGCTGGAATCAGAGGTGCCGAGTTTTCCGGGCAGCACGTCTTCCCTGGGAAGCACGCGCGCAGGGGACCCAGACCCAAGGGTGGGGTGCAGCAATCAGTCGGCCACCCCCTGCAGTGGGAAGTGAGTTCCAATCCCATCAGAACAGTTGGTTGTTACAGCCCATGATCTGGATTATCAGTCATGATAGTTGGTTATATTAAATCCAGTATCACTGATCATCCAACTAACATAGTACGGATGGATACAATAATGTATGATTTATGATCAGATTACCCCTGGGATAATCATCCATTTTCATGATATTCATAATCATTATACACTAATACTTGGGTGTGCATCCCACTTAGGATCTGTGGTTTTTAATCCATTAACCTAACCCATATTTCATCCCATATAATCCAGTGGGGATATTCCATTAATCTAATTGGGTTGTGTAGTCATTACCCTAGGGTATACACTATTATGATAATTAATATCATTTGTTTGATAGTTAATATCATATTATAACAAATATCATATTATAACAAATATCATATTGATTAATATTAATATAATAATAGCTAATATGATAATTAATGTAGTTTGTTTGATAGTTAATATCAATATGATGATATATCATACACTAATGATATTACTAATATAGTCAAGGAACCCCGGTAGGCAGAGATGGTACGAACCGATAAACCGAGCAGATGGTGGAAATCCAAGAAAATCAGCCACCCCTTCTGCTTACCACATCTCAATACCTGATGAATGCCTGATGATGCCGATTTCTGCTTACCACCTGTGGTGAACAAGACTGCTTTTTTTCCCCGGTTCTTTCTCAGTCATCTCGTCCCTGCAGATTCATGCAAATGTATGCATTGGGTATTGGAGGATCGCAGCAAACAAGCATGCGAAGGAGAGTCCACAAGCATACATATGTCCTTTCCTATTGCAGCACCTGCAACCTTTCACGTGTTCTCACCACATTGCTTATGGAAAGCGATCCTGAGCATCTGATGGGTCTGGAAATGAGGTAGACCAGACATGGGCGTGTCCAGGCCACAGCAAAAAAGCACTGACCTGTTGGGAAAAATATGGGAAAAGGAATTTGTTGGATCTCCGGCTATCAGACTGCTTTGGACACACCTGGTGAATTATGTTTACATAATTCTGCATATATATAGGCCATTTCGAATTCGATTGCTTCTGCCAATATGAGGGATACTGTACATCTCCCTGGTCCGGCGGGAGCGGCGAAGCTTTCAGACACAAAGAAAACAGAACGGAAGATCCCGGTCCCTGGGATTTTTTAAACAAAGCCATCTCTCAGAATCTCTCAGATCATCCAATCACTTCACGTGAAAGCCAAGCTGAGCAATCAAGGCTCCTTTCAGGAGCTTCACTGTCGCCTCAGCCGTGGTGCAAGTCGGATGAAGCTTCTGGTGCTGTTCCCATGCCCAGACAAGGCATTGAAGCAATGCCTGAGCTGAGCTGACGTAGCCTTTCTTGACATGCCCGAAGGTACGCGCAGTGGATTTCTGATGCCCTGCAGGGTACCTCACCTGCCAAGTGCTCGTGGTGTGGTGGATGCCGATGCCACAGCCAATCACATTCGGAATCGCGGTGAGGCCTGCATCTCGAAGGAAAAGAAAAGCAGGGACAGTCTCAAATTTGTCTCCCGCAACAGCTGCTGAAACACTGGTTGGGGGTGACGGAGCCGGCAACTCAGCCTCAGAAGGTTTGACTGCCCCTCCGAGATCCTCCAAGATGAAGACGGCTGAGTCATCATCGAAGTCCCAGGCCGCATCCTTCAACTCTACAGCCTCATCCTCGGAGCTGGAGCCAAAAAGGTTTGGACCAGGAAGCTCACCCATCTCCGCCACAGCCTCCGCTTCAATCTCTGGCTCGGCAGTCTGGCAAAGATCCATGTTGGCAATCAAGTCTGCCTCAGCGCCTTCAATCTCCATGGGCTCTTGGGGCACCAGCGCCAAGTTCTGGTCATTATTGTCATCATCATACTTTTCTTCACAATCTTGTTTGGAGCCATGGTGCCCGTGCGAAGCTTTTGCCGCGCCACCCATCATCTCAAGGACATTGCTTTTCTGCAGCGACAGGGCAGACAAATGCAACCGGATCTCCTGAATCTCCCTGCTGCGCCCTGTAGCAGACACAACACGCAGCTGCTTCTGGGTAGGCTCATCCTCAATGGTTGTCAGGGTCATGTTGCTGACATCCAATTTGTAGCCCACAGTGTGGCTTGTGACAGAAACTGTCAAGACGCCATCTTTGTTTTTCACAGCCTTCTGGTAGAGATCTGGCGATGCCTCTTTCTGAGTGCTTTTGACAATCAAGATTGCGCTGATGGAACCCTGCCCATTCTGAGCAGCCTCAGATTTGCTTTTCGCGTTCTTTGTCTTGATGTCTTCGGAGCCAAACTTGTCCAAGCGGTGCAAGTAGAAGGCCTCAGCATCTTGCACTCGGGCATGATATTCAGCTAGCCTGCGGCTCAGGATACTCTGCCACATGGAAGGCAAACAGACCCAGTTTTCATCTTCTTTCTCCCACTCTTCAAGTTCACCTTGCTCTGGTTTTGCGAGAACTTGCCACAAAAACGTGGTGCGGTGTGGATCGGGCAATGTGAAGACTTCATCCATGGGGGCTGAAAAGCTGCAGTCTTCAGCTTCTTTTTCGCAGGCAGCCATTTCTGCCGTCAGATCCTCAGGAGACACTGCGTCTGGAGAAACAGCCGCCATCTCCTCAAGGCTTGCCATGCCTCGAGACAGCCACGCCCACCTATACCAGGGCAGTAAGCGGATATCAAACCCTGCTTACTGCTGAGGTTGTCCATCAATCAGAATTTCACGGCCCCCTGTTATAATATTATTATATACTATCATTAATATACTATATATATATACTATATATATATATATATTTGTTTATGTCTCATATATTTGGTATTATTGCACAAACATAAGCAGGAAGGAATGTGTATATGTATATACACCTATATCTTTCTATATACAACCCTGGTAGTCAGGACTGTGATTCTGCTTACAGGGTCTTATATAAATTGTAGTCTTTCCAGGGTACCTTGCCTCAGAAGGTTCCTGCGCTTTGAAAGCCTTTGCCAGGCGTAAATCGCAGCCATAACCGAGTCCTCATGGGAAGCTGTGAGGTGAATGTTGCCATTGCTCATGAGGACGGGTATTTCCTTGGCCCGCTGCATCAACCTGCCTCGGTACCCAAAGCATGTCTCCTGGTAGAAGGTCATGTACCGGCGATAAATTGAATGGACAGCGTCACAAGGTTGGCCTCGTGCAGACCAGCCGCCCGGCTGGCGGGCAGGCAAGGCCACGTTCGACGTAGATGAAAAATGCTCTCCTGAGGGCTGAATCCATGGGATTTCTCAACATTCGACACTCCATTGCACAAGAAAACTTATAAATCACATATAAATATATATATATAATTATATAAATTTATTTTTATATATAGAGAGAGAGGGATAGATAGATAGATAGATAGATAGATAGATAGATATATATATATATACCCCCAGATATACCCAATGGGAACCCAGGCTCTTTGGACATCTGTTCCGCCGGATGTGCTGTGATGTCCAGTGAATGCATCAGCAAGCAGAAACCCTTTCTCATCGTCAAAGGAACGCCCGTAGCGCTCTGCCAAAATGGTCCGACGCCTGTGAAAAGCAGGGGCCAAAACGTGCTCAAAGTATTCCACAACTGTCTCTGCCCGCATAAAATGAGATGCCTGCCCAGAAGAGATGAAGAAGATATCTGGAGCAAATCGCTGTTGGAGCTGAAGCTGCTGCTCAGCGCTCAGGAAGCCAAGTGGCAAAACAATGCAGAGAGGGCCTGCTTCACCTGAACCCCAAAGACTCGTCACCAGGGTAACAGAATGCCGGCTCTGGCCTACGTTGTCGGCTCGGGCATCTTTTCCTGCCAGTGGCCGGGTGCTTCGAAAAACAGAAAGTTGAAAATGCGGGGGCAACCTGAGCCCTACAAAAGCGCAGCCAATGGTACTCCATTGCACAAGAAAACTTATAAATCCAGCTATAACATAGCCAAAAAATGGTCCTGAGATCCGTCTACGCTTGACTGTCCATGGTTCTTCTTTGGCAGGCTGCATTCCATGAATGATGGCCGCGACGCGCTCCCTTCTTGTTGTCAGCAGCCTTTGCGGGCAGTCCACATCGAAAACCTTGTGCAAAAGTTTGGTAGGGGAGCTCCAACTGGATTTCCAAACCTGATCAAAGTTGAGCGCCATGTCAAGCCTGACGTCCTGAGTCAACCTGAAGCAGGGCCAATGTTTGTTGGAAACGCAGTGCCAACAAAACGTTTTGATATATGAATACGCATATATATTGAAAGAGAGATATCAAATTAAAAAAGACATATATATATATATATAGAGAGAAGCCCAGTGAACCACCCCTGGAAATCAGATTAAGGATTCCTGCTTACTGGGGGGTCTTTCCCGGCCGCCTCATGAAGGTGAACATTTTCCTGCTTTTGATCATACGCTCATCCTCAAAATCCAGGTAAGCACCGTACGTGTTTGGAGCTCGCCTTCGCCAGCCGAACTGTTTCAACAATTTGTTCGCCCATCTCTCAGTCACTTCTGTTTTGACAGGTTGGCATGGGATGTCTTTTTCTTGAGCAGCCGCTTCTTGTGCCTCTGCGTAGGCTTTGAGTTGTGCCTCGGCTTCTCTCTTAATGCTCTTCACACTTAACCTCCCTGATGTCAGTTTGGACGTATCACCACCAGTAGTCACTCTTTCGATGAGGGCCACCAGGTTCTCAATGACTGTGGGTGGGATGTTCTTCCCAAACTTGAATCTCTCGTATGCACGAGGCGGCATCCCCATCGGGACTCGAACCCAATCTGGAAGTTCTTTCATTTTGCGGTCCTCAACTGTCATCTTTTCGAATGGGATGGAGCGCCAATTCTGTTCATTGCATTGGACGAGTCACCTGCCAAGCATTCCTGACTTGAGACCACCTGCATGGTTTCGGAAAAGGGCCGGAAAAGTTTTCATGACCTTCGCCTCAAGGCCAGTCTTCTTTCCACTTTCAACCAGCCTGTCAAGCTCACGGATGCATTGCATTTTTTCATAGATGGTCGGCCGATTTCGGCCTGTGGCTTTGCGATCCCCATCGGCGTCAGACTCATCTCCTTCAGATTCGTCCTTGCCCTGTGGAACAAGCGCCTGCACGGGCTCAGCCGGACCAAAAACTATATAAATGGGCTATATATATATAAATATATATATATATATACATACACGCTCTATCTATTCATTTATAGATCTGTATATAAATATATGTGTAAATATAAATATATATATATATATATGGCCAGGTACTTTGTGTATTTAGTGTATGGACATATACAGATGCAGAAAGCAGAAGATTGGATCTGCTAACCACCCCACCCGTCCTGGGCACATTCCTGCACTTCAGGTGGAGAGGAATTCTCAGCAGGCCTTGCAGAACTGGAAGCTGAAGTAGGACCATGGCCAGGGGAATGCTCTGAATCACCTGCTGCAGGTGAGAAGGATACGTCCACGGAATTGGCAGGAAAGGGCTCCTCAAAAACATCGGATGGCTCCATTGGAGACTTGTCTGGGAACTGCTCGCTTTCTTGAGGCGGAGAAGAGCTTTCTGGAGATGTGTTGCTCGGTGGCGAAGAGTTGGAAGGTGCTTCACTGGTTGAAGCTTTGGAAGGCGTGACGAACTCGGACTCACTGCGCCGTCGCTTGGAAACTTTGGAGGTAGTGCTGCTGGTGTACTTGCGTTTCTTGTACTTGGTACCATCAAAGGAATGTCCCACGTTTTCGGTTCTTCTGGCGATGCGGACATCCAATTGGTTCTTCACCCTGTTTACATTGTTCAGAAGAGCAGCGGCTGTGGAAACATCGTTTGGCGCCAAGCGCACCTGTGCTCTGACCAGCTCTTCCTTGGCTGCCATTGCCGTGTGACCAAAAAGGTGTTCGAGCTCCTGAATCATGTTCTTGCCACTGGCAAAGTCGGCCATGTGGTTGAACAGAAAGGCTGCTACCACCTCCAGCTCCTCTGAGATTTGTTTCAAACAGGCTTTGGCCTCAGCATCATGATTTGGAACGATAGCTTCGTTCCTGGCAATGTTGACGTTCAACGACCTTTTCAAGGAGGACTTTTTCATCTGCTTCTCAAGATCCTGTTTGGCTGCCTCTCGAACTTGCTCCATCGTTTCCAACTCTTCAGATACCACAGAAGCGTAATAAAGTGAACCCTTCCCAGTCCACAGAACTGCACTTCCAAGTTCAGCAAATTCTCCTTCTTTGACCTGAGGGTTTTCTGCCTGAAGACCTAATTCAGTGATGCGGTAGAAAGTGGCAAATTTGTCCGCGCCCACCACAGCAGTGACAAATGCTTTGTTGCACTCTTCCTGGTGCCGTTTGGCAAAATGAAAGTCTTGCATGGTGAACTTGTCGCTGGCCTCTGACACGGTCGGCTTCACGATGCAACACCCAACCACAGCATGGGACTTTGTCTCACACAATTTTTGCAGCAGTTGGTTGTCCCACTGCTGGTCATAGATGTTCTCCTGCTCGGGGAAGTCAGCGCACCAGCAGCCATTGACTAGAACAATGCCTTTGGAAGTCACGCTGCCCAGCAAGTATGCGATCGTGCTTGCAGGGCTCCGGGGGAAGGCTACGTTGTTGAGGTGCGCAAGAAGGCCTCCTGATATAGACAGCTCACTGGTTTTGTCCTGCTTGCTGAAAAAATCTTTCTTGGCTTGCAGCCTTTTCTCACCAGGCCGCAGATGGTCCTTGGCATTCACAACCTCAACAGACTGATTTTCCAGCAATGTTGGTGCTGCCAGGTTGATCAACTTGCTCTTTCTCTTCGGATTCGCCTTTGCCGCTGCTGCTTTCGCTTTGGATGTCTTGCCACCCTTGTTCGGCTCCTCCGTTGGTTTTGCCTCCTCCTCTCCATCGCCGCTCTCCTCCTGTTTCTTTTTGCTCTTTTTATTCTTCTGCTTGGGGACTTTGGCACTGCCTGCGGCACCTTCTGCTTCAATCTCTTTCTCCGCTGCTGACTCTGGAGTCCAACCCAAAGGGCGATACAAGGAGCGCCCTATGCAAGCATCCAGCTTTGTGAATTCCAGCGGCACAAGAACCTGCACAGAAGAAATTCGATGTCCAACAAACGGGTATGCATAGGGAGGATTTTCACACAAATGTGCTGGTTTGAGCTTGTTGAACTCCTCATCGTTGCAAATGCTCAAAGGGTGGGAAACAACGCACTTGGCATGGATCATGTTGCCGACCGCCAGATACAGTGCATCCTTTTGGTTGCAAATGGTGCTTTTCCTCAACTCTAAAGTCTTTCCCTGCTCACAGATCTTCTTGAGAAATTCTTCTTTCAACAGCAGGATCTTTGCTAGGTATTCTGGTTCCTCTGCAACAGGAGCCAAGGTCACCTGGGGTTTCACAGCCAGCGCATCATTCAACTGAATCATTTTGGAGCTCATTGCCGACACAGCAGGCTCGCCTGATGGCTGGCTGGAAGGCAGCAGCTTTGGCAATTCAAACTTGCAAAACCAAGTTTCCATCAAGACGTGCTTGTCCTCCTTCGATTTGGCCTTGTTGACCTCCGAGAAGCTGCAACCCCAATCAGAAAGTTTCTTCTTCATACCCGCAATGGTCATGCCCTCGTACTGGAGCCGCTCATCCTCATGCCGACAAACCAGGCAGAAAGCAGGACACCTAATCTGCTTACCACATATGCATAGCCCTGTCTCCTACAAGTACAGGAAATACACATATAAACGCAGATTATATATGTGTATATCAGAGGATGGAACATATACCTACCTATTATATATCATCATCGGTTGATCAAGGATGCTGTGACTGATCCCACTGTGAAGAACGAGGATATAAAAGGCAGCCAAGCAGCATGAACACGTCGGTGGGCAGCTACTGCCACTGCTTTGCTGTTCCCAACAGTGAACGTGGAGGTGCCAACCTTCAGCTTGAAGATACCATCTTCCACGAAAAGTCCGTCTGGAAAAGAAGGGGCTTGAATCTGCGGGACGATGGCTGGGGGCTTCGGTCGCAAGGAAGCCAAAGCGGAAAGAATGACAATCCCTATGTTTTGGAGCTGGTTGCCGTTGCCAGCTCTCTGGTGCCATGCGAAATCTTCCTTCCAAGGGACCGGCTTCCCGATTCCCGCAAGCAAAGCCTGCGACTCAGAGACAGCAAGACCCGATGCTGCCAAGCGCTCCCGCGCCGTCAGCCACCTGCAAAACGGGCCCACGTGCCAATTCTTGGGTTGATCATCTCGATTCCAACTATTATAAATAGATATATATATATATTATTATTATATATATATAAAACACATTTATAAACCATTTTGCACCCAAGGCAGGAATTCAGACATAAAATATAAAGATATATATATATATATATGTTCCATTTGGTCTTGGTCCTTTTTGCCCCCTGCAATCCATTCTTGGCTCCCATTGTTAGGCTTACTAACAGTTCATTTCAGGTGGTATATGCTTCGACCAATACTTTCAAGGGGATGAACGGGGTTGATGATCCTATATACCCAAGTCAGGGATCAAAACCATCTAAACGTCGATTTTGGGTTGTTGGCCCCATCAAGGCCCCTATATACCAAGTTTTCGATTTAGAACTGAATTGTTTTAGGTGGTGATCGATACATGCGTGCAAAAACAAAACCCTCATCTTATATATACATATACATATAAGTAGATGTCCGATTTTAAAGCTCCAAATGCTCCTTCTTCCCAAAACATTTTGCCCAGATGGATAATCAAGAGGCCATACAAACCACATATTCTTACAGGGGCAGTAAGCAGAAAGTGGAACCTGCTAACCTGGTCCCTAGTCAATAGTCGCTGTGACCTATACCTTTTTTTGTGGAATCAGAAGCCGTCCATTTTCGCGGGAAGCGTCAGCTCCAGAACTCAAACATCCTGCCGCAGTGCACCAACTATCAAGTCGTGGTGGCTGAGTATAGGTAGGGAAACTGAACAAGAACCATCTTGAATCGGCACTGGTCCCAGCAGAAGCAAGCACTCGCTGAGGAAGAACTATGCTTGAAAATCATGATTGGGCGCTGGGACCAATGCATGCAAGGTTATTGCGACATTCCCCCAGTTTTGTGTATGCTCGTGAGAGCAGTGGCCAAAAAAGCATGCGACACCCTTGATTTTGTGGCTCTCTCTTGATGGAACTCTCAAAATCAATTTGGTGATTCTAGCCACTACCCATTGTTGATGCCTTACATGCGGCTGCTCAAACATCTACATCCCATGAAGCAACATGCATTCATGGATGCGCTTCACAATCATTCGACAATGAAATGAAACGCATTGCTGAAACGCACCACCCTGCCATATGGCAAGTTGTCCATAGATTCATCTCCAGTCGGGGGTGGTAGGAGGTACTTGCGGTATGAAAAGAGCACCACCCATCGGCAAACCAACTGCCCTGGAATGTTCTCGGGGACATCGAGCTCGAAGAGTTGGCCGGATGAGACCATACGCACCTTAAAAGCTCCGACAACCAAATGGGGATCAAAAACCATCCATTTGTTATATGTAAATATATATATATAGGTGGTTGATTATCTTCACACCCCTACACGTTACGAATGAAAAAGAACCAAGTTTGAAGTGTTTCTCCATTAGCCCCTCCCCCTCTTTGGAACCAATCATTCGGTTTCGGCTGTCTGACCAATGCCATTTGACCCACACAACAGTTTTGAAAAGCAGATTGGTTCATGGAAACCACAAGGAGTGACCCCCAGCTACTTGTAACAATGGTGAAAATTGTATATATATATAGTTTCTCTCACTATGTGTATGCGTATACATATATATGTAACTGCAACAAGAAGCTGCCACTAAGCCCTTGTGGGGGTTGTAGTCGACGACAATGCCATACTCTTCTTTGATATTCTTCTCAAGACGCAAGACATGCCGATCAAGCGTCACCTGCTTCGCGACCTTCGCTTTGGGCGCAGCCTTTCCCTTGGCTTTCCGCACGCCCTTTGGTGATGCGGGCTTCTTGACCGAGGGGCGCTTAGGGCTGTGAATCTTCATAGCGCTCTTGCCAGCCATGGCTCGAAGTCAAACTGATAAGATCTTGGAAATTTGGGGGCGATGCGCTTCACTCTAGGACGAATTGCTCTCGATCCAGACCAAAATCATGGCGTGCTTATGCCCCCTCTGGTCAACAGAATCAGCCACATTGAGGTGCAGGAGAACCCACAATACGGTTTACATCCACACCAAAAAATTGTCTGTTTTCTTTTGGGTTGTTGGTCTTTTGGCCCCTACATGCCAAATTTTGGGGTCAGAAATGGTGCAATTTATGATCTATGTGGTAATACACCTATTTTTGTGATCAAAAATTTGATTCTTGACACTTATTTATATATATATATATAGATAGATATATACTCAAGTCAGAGAAGTCAGAGATCAAAAGAAGCTAAGCATCGATTTTGGGTTGTTGGTCCTTCTAGCCTCTGAAACCAGTTTTTGGGATTAGAAAGTATTAGGCTCTCACTCTCTTTCTCTCTCTCTCTCTCTCTTTCTCTCTCTCTCTCTCAATATATTTGTGTATGTCTACATACATAAATATATATATATATATATAGAGATAGATAAGGCCATTTATTCCCGATTCCCAAAACATCTTGCCCAGATGGATAACAAAGAGACCATACCCAGTAAGCAGAAAGTGGAACCTGCTAACCGCCGCAAATAATTAATGCCTTGTATTCTGGGGGGTATGACCTGGACACGGCCACAAATCCCAGCCTGCAAAGTTTCGAATTCCACAACCTTCGTGTGCCAGACTTCGTGAAGCAGGGAAGGCATTCGCTGCTTGCGCTTGGCATAGTTGGGCGCTTCTCGGCATTCTGCCCCAACGCAAAGATAGGAAATTGGCTCGCAGCATCCTCCGCAAACCTGTGGCTGCCCAGCTTTGATTGGTTGGTAGAAAACAAGTAGAGGCCAAGCATATACACGTTTGTATTTTACATATTTTTAGTTTTATGTATATATATATACACATAGTTTTTCATACATATTAAAAAGACATGAGTATATATATATATATATTGAAGGATATAATTGCGGGGATACGTGATTCCCAAACAAGTCCATATATATATATATATGATTCATGTATTTGTTTAGGGATATGGAGGGAAGTGTGGACATACCACCCGGTAAGCAGAATTGGTTCCCTGCATACTGCACCAAGCAGCTTCGTCTCATAGGCCGCAAGATTCTTGAGCTCCCACTCGGATAGCAAGGGTCGCCAGTCATCCAATGGGCAAGTTTCTGGGTCTCCTGCAGGGAGGCCAGAAACACATCCCCTCATAAAAGTTTGAGTGTCAAAAAAAATATATAACTATAAATAAGAGAAATAGGTAAATCAATATATACATCTATATTTGTGATACCTCGAAGTGCATGCGTCACCTGAGCCTTGTGCATGTTCCGTCCCATGGGATGATGACATGCCCCCGCTTGCATGCGAATTATGAATTCGTCTTTAAAAAAAAACACGTTTGCCCTGCACGAAGACATCCCAGAAGACAGCCGGAGCAAGCATTTGTCCACCCAAGAGTCGCAAGTCTGTTTCCATGCACAAATTTGTATATATGTATACATATTCTTTGAAACGACATTACAAGGCGCTTTGAGCGCTTCCTAAGCTGGCAGTCAGGGGAATCGGTCACTCGTCACCTTCATGGCGAGTTTTATGAGGCGCATCTGCCTCAAACTTTGGCTGGGTCAGTTCCCCAATACGTTGCCGAGCGGTTGCACTAATCTTCTTCATCTTCTTGCGCGCCAACTCTTGGCCTAGTTCTGTCAATTCCTTCTGTACGAGCCCACACTGCTTGCAACGAACCCGTTTCACCACGGCGTTCGAGCCACGCTTGGTCATCCAAACGTGTTGGCAGGTCCTGACCTGGGTAGAAGTCATTGAAGGAGAAGCAGTGGAAGAAGCTGCTGGAGGCGGACTCGTATCACTCACAACACTCCAGTCAGAATCGTCATCAGAAACAGGAGGCAAGTGCTGGATCTGCACATTTGCCTGCGCAACATCTGCCTTGGGCTGGATGCACGCGGCCAAGATTTCAAGAAGCTTGGCCAAAACAATGATCACCAATGAGGCAAATTTCAAGAAAAGGCGAGCCCAGCTAGCATTGCAACGGCTCAAACGTGTCGCCATGTGGCCTGAACTTGGGTGGTGCGATCTTTGAGCCTCAACTCTAATCTACAAAGGCCAGCCAGGTGATGCAATTGGGCGCATGCCCCGATTTTTGTGCCTCACTTATTACGCGCATGTGTTGTGCAACACTTGGGAAGAATACATATATATATACATATATGTATACAATATGTAGTCATATACATATTTAGATAAATTTAGATATAATATAAATAGTTATTTATAGTCAGCCCTGGCCCACCCCAGTCCTTCGCAATCATCTGCAGACGATGCGTTTCTCCTCATTTCCAGCCGCAGAGCTTCAGGGTCCGTCTCGAAAAAGAAATCATCAATGGTGCACTCCGGAAGCGTGGCCGCGATGTGGGCAACAATGGCGGCGTAGAGCTCTTTCGGTTTAGCAATCGGCTCCACGACCTCTGCCAAATAGTAGATGTCATACCTCAGTGGGACAGTGGGGAAACATATTTCCAATACAAATATACAGGTGTATTTATAGACATACATATATACTTATATATGTATATATATATAATATGTGTGTGTGGTGGTATCTTAAAATGGGGGATCTAAAAACTATGGGGGTCCAAAACTAAATCTCCTCATTTTGTATCATTTGGGGGTACCTCCACTGCAGGAATCCTCAATATATATAATATTGTAAATATGTGATTATATAGTACATATATATATATATATATATATATATAATAGACGTGCATGTAATTCCCCACCTGCCAGGTGAGGGTCTCTGGATTTTATCGGAGCTGCCTTCTCCTCCTCTCCTACTCCTCCCCTCCTCAACTGCGAGCTCCACATCTCAGTGTGCATGGCCAGACCTCAACCGCAAGCTCCAGATCTCAGCCACTGCCGGACCTAAACCGCAAGCTCCAGATCTCAGTACGCACTACTGGACCTCAACCACGAGTGTGTGTATGTGTGTGTGGTGATTTCTTGGAAGGAAAAAGCTTAAAGATTGCTGAGGTGCTTCCTTGGACGTCCCACATGGACGCCAACATCCATTGGTTTGCATTGGATTTGGAAATGGTCATATCCATATTCGGCAGCAACGTCAGTAAGAGTATCCGACAAGAACCCCTTGACATTCTCGTGCACCAAAACCCAAACTCTCTTCCGAAAGTTGTGCATCATATAGATGACCAGAAGCATCGCCGTGGCATCGTCCAACTTCTGCAAATTGCCCAAGGTGGAATATGCAACGCACATTGACCCACTGAGGTTCAAAAGGGCAAACCGGATGGGACACCTCAGGCCCCAGCCCAGGAAGCAGATACGCTGTATCTGCTTACTGGGTGTGATGTATACATGTATATATTTGGATTTGCATCAATATCTATATATATATATTCTCTCTCTCTCTCTTTTTCTTTCTTTTTTTTCCAATCTATCTATCTATTAGCTATCTGTCTATCTATCTATCTATTTATGTATGTATGTATGTATGTATGTATATATATATATATGGCAAATTTCTTTGATGGACCCAAAAACAGGAAACTCGGGCCCCAAAACGGATCAGCTTGTTGAAAAAGAATTATTGACGTCGCAAAGGATCCACCCAAGCTGGTGTCCTCCCTACCCGTTGGCCAAACACAACCACAAAACATGTATGCAGGGAGGCCTACACTCCAGCCCCTCGACAATCCCACAATAGGGCGGCAATACAATGCTTGACGAGGCACTTCTTCAAGTGCTGGCAGCAATAGGCATGGGTAGGCAGGTCAGCTTTGCGCCCGATGGTCAGCCACCTCTTGAACCGGTTGACATCGGACTTGGTCCCTACTTTTTTCATCTCCTTTACTGCATCCTCGGACATGAAATCAAAGACGTCCATGAACCTGCAAGCGTCCACAGACAAGGTGTCCAAGTGAGAAGACCTCGCCGCCGCATTCTTCTCACAGGTCCACAGGCATTCCTCAGGTGGGAAAAGGGGTGTAGTATCATCTCAAGCCCATTTATGCCCGTTTTTTGATGATCAAAAAATACATATATATATATATGTGTATATATATATGGGGCTTTCATCGGGCTTTATACCAGTATCTCTATATATATATATCTCTCTCTCTCTCTCGCGCGCCCTCTCTCTATCTACCTATCTATCTGTCTGTCTATCCATCCATCCATCCATCCATCTATCGAATATCTATATATAGTCATGACTATATAGTCATTACTATATTTATAAATACACACACACCAAGCTTTACAACGACTGAACTTCTGCTCATCGATCCCCACAAGAAGCCAGGGCGCTGTCAGGGAACCAAGGTCCTTTCCATGGAGCGCCCGAGCTGCGTGGATATACTCCAAGGCTCTTTCCCCATACCCACAGCCAGAGAACATCGACGAAGTGCCAATGACCTGTTGACCCCACAACAGGCTATCGGTACCCACCTTCTCTTTGGCAAAGGCCAAGGCCTCCACAGCCCATAGCTGGGCCTTTTTGAGAGATTCAGGCGGCTCAGCCATGACTATATAGCACGGGCAGAATCGCTACAAGATTTGGAATTGGTTCGTTTCCTTCCAAGACCTTTGAGGCCAGCCCCATGCTACATCCTGCACCAGTGTATTGACAGTTCAGAAATATGAAAGAATGATAAAGAATGCTTTCATCAGTATGCACATAGAGACATATCGAACCTGCTGTTGAATGCCGGCATCTTATGTGGCTAAGTTCAAGCAAAATGCGGTGCGAGGAACTGGGTTCAGCAAATTGATGGGCGGCTACAGCCACCAACATGGATGTCAGCAAAAATCAACCTCAGCCTTCACATGGCCAAAACAAGGCGTTTTGCAAGTTCGTTCTTGGGGCAGTAGGCTCATGTACCAGGCCCTCAAGAAACGTTTCCTGTATGAAATTTGACTTTGGTGCCATGTGTGCGGTCTGCAACTGCATCAAAAAGGAAATTGCAGCTATATATACACCTGGATATACATGAATAAACACATACATATATATATATATATTATATCATATATATGATATATCATATATATAACACTTCCAATGTTCATTTGTTTTCAGGGACTTGCATGTTTCTCGTGATGGCGGTCCCATATGTCTGAAGCGTTTTTCTTGTTTTTTTGAAGTGTTGCTTCATTGTTGCTGTTTTTTCCATGCTATGTCAATAACGGCGCAGTAAGCAGATTCTTACTACTGAACCTAATTTTGCGCATTTTTTTCTGCATGTTTTTTTTTGATGAATGATGATGGTTTTCAATTTTCCAAGTGTTCCCCAATGATCTTTCAATCTTGTTGATCATGGTGCTCTTCAACTGTTCATTTGCTTCTCAAGGGCTTGCATTTTGTTGATTGTGGCGGCCCCTTATGTTTGGGCTGTTGTACAAAGATTTTATCTTGTTTTTTGAAGGTTTTTTTCATTTTTCTTTTTTCCATGTTCCTTCAATAAGGGTGCAGTAAGCAGATTCTTACTACTGCACTTATTTTGCGCGTGTTTTTGTTACACTTTATTTTGCGAATCTGGGTCTTGATCACGCAATAAAGAGTGCATTTTGTTTTTTTTATTCAGGCGTCCCCTCAACGATTTTCAATCCTATCGATCATGATGACATGAATCATAATGCTCTTCAAAGATTCATTTGTTTTTGCTTTAATTTTCTACATTTTCCATATTATGTCAATGCAAAAAGCAAATGCTTACTACTGCACCTTATTTTGTTTGTGTTTGTGATCAAGACTATATATATATATCATTGATAAGATCAAAAACCTGCAAAAACACATGGAATTTCCAAGAAAATCATCATTGATAAAATCACAAACATGGAAAAACACGTGGAAGATCCAAGAACCTCATCATGGATAAGATCAAGCAACATGAAATGCAGTAGTAAGCATATGCTTACTACTGCACCTTATGTTGTTTGCGTTGATAATAAAGATTATACATATATATATATATAAATATAACTGATAAGATCAAAAACCTGGAAAAACACATGGAAATTCCAAGCAACTCATCATGGATAAGATCAAAAACCTGCAAAAACACTTGGAAAATCCAAGAAACTCATCATGGATAAGATCAAAAACATGGAAAAAACACGTGGAAGATCCAAGAACCTCATCATGGATAAGATCAACAACATGACATGCAGTAAGCAGATGCTTACTACTGCACCTTATTTTGCTTGTGATTATAATAAAGATTATATATATATATATCATTGATAAGATCAAAAACCTGCAAAAACACCTAGAAAATCCAAGAAACTCATCATGGATAAGATCAAAAACATGGAAAAAACACGTGGAAGATCCAAGAACCTCATCATGGATAAGATCAACAACATGACATGCAGTAAGCAGATGCTTACTACTGCACCTTATTTTGCTTGTGATTATAATAAAGATTATATATATATCATTGATAAGATCAAAAACCTGCAAAAACACCTGGAAAATCCAAGAAACTCATCATGGATAAGATCAAAAACATGGAAAAAACACGTGGAAGATCCAAGAACCTCATCATGGATAAGATCAACAACATGACATGCAGTAAGCAGATGCTTACTACTGCACCTTATTTTGCTTGTGATTATAATAAAGATTATATATATATATATCATTGATAAGATCAAAAACATGGAAAAACACATGGAAAATGATAACTAAAGGACCAATTCGATAGTGCAAAAATGAAGAAAACCCATGTAAACATGCAGAAAATCAGCTCTTGAATCTAGGGTTCGAAACATTTTTTTCAAAAAAAAAATCTCTTTCTTTTGGACTTAGAGTGGTCCGTATGGAGTCCCTGCAGGTTTTAAAGCCCATGATTGAGTCAATTTGAGGTGCAAAATTCGATTTTCGACACCGAAAAAAATTGCAAAAAAAAACTTTCTAATGCATTTAAAGCTCTTCAAAATGAATCACTGAAGGTTTTAAACCAATTTTTGGAAACAATTTATGAATACAAATCTTACTTTTGCATCTTTTCATTTTTCACTTTTTTTAGCTACTTTCCTAGTATTCCCCGTTATTCTCATTGTGCTTCCCTTGGGGTCTCCCCGTTGTGTCTTCCCCGTTGTACTTCCCCGTTTTGGGGTCGAAGTCCTCGGCAGACCTCGGCCTGGCAGGCTCTCGGCACAACAGGGAGACACAACGGGAGAACCATCTCGAAGTTCTTGGTGTCTCCCTGTTGTGCCGAGAGCCTGCCAGGCCGAGGTCTGCCGAGGACTTCGACCCCAAAACGGGGAAGTACAACGGGGAAGACACAACGGGGAGACCCCAAGGGAAGCACAATGAGAATAACGGGGAATACTAGGAAAGTAGCTAAAAAAAGTGAAAAATGAAAAGATGCAAAAGTAAGATTTGTATTCATAAATTGTTTCCAAAAATTGGTTTAAAACCTTCAGTGATTCATTTTGAAGAGCTTTAAATGCATTAGAAAGTTTTTTTTTGCAATTTTTTTGGGTGTCGAAAATCGAATTTTGCACCTCAAATTGACTCAATCATGGGCTTTAAAACCTGCAGGGACTCCATACGGACCACTCTAAGTCCAAAAGAAAGAGATTTTTTTTTTTGAAAAAAAATGTTTCGAACCCTAGATTCAAGAGCTGATTTTCTGCATTTTTACATGGGTTTTCTTCATTTTTGCACTATCGAATTGGTCCTTTAGTTATCCTCTTTATGATTTCGATTTCTTTCAACAACGGGCAGTAAGCAGATTCTTACTGCTGCACCTATTTCTGCATATTTTTTTGTTCTTTCTCGTTTTTATTTCATCATGACTCAGTTTTGTTCAGTACATATACATGCGAGCAATAATGGAAAAGACCTTTTCATCACAGTTCATCACGGTTTTCATCATTTTTCATTCTTTGGTGAATGTTTTGAACAAATTTTCATCATATTTCATCATGGTTTTCATATACATATATTTACACATAATTATATATATATATATATTGTTCATTATTTTGTCATTGTCTTTGATTAGTTTCATCACATGTCATCATGTTTTCATAGTTATTCATTATTTCGTCATTGTTTTTTCATAGTGTTCATTACATGTCATCATGCTTTTTCGTCATGGTTCTCATCATTTCAAGGATGTTTTGTACAGACAAAAAATATGTGGTGCAGTAAGAAGATTCTTCGTTTTACCAAATGTACAACATTTTCATTTTCTGCTTACTAGGTGTTTATATTTATAGATATGTTTCAGAAAAGTGGGGAAAATGCGAAAAAGCGCCGTCGGTAAGCAGATTTTTACTGCTTACCGTCGTTCCTCGACTATATCCATGGTTAATATCCATAATTAATACACTAATAATGTATGATTTTCCCTTATTCAATATGATGAGTCACACTATGCTGATATCTTCCCATTTTTTTGCCGATGAGGCAGTGCAGCGCGCACCAAAGCTTTCAGGAGGTCTCACGGGATGCGGGAGGAAAGGATTGATGTGGATGAGATGTGGATCATTGGATATTGATTCTATGATTCTATGATCAATTATGATAGGGACTATATACAGATGATACATTCTATGATCAACTATGTAGGGATTTTGTAGATTCTATGCATTTGATATGAGAAACAGTTGGTAACCATGGTGACTCAATGTTTTTTTTGGTGATTTAGTGACATATCATGGGAATATAATGGGGATATATAGTATGACAACTAACAGTTGGACCCTGAAAATAACACAAGTTTTTCGTGGAAACTCATCTTCCAAGGCCTATCTGGCAGGGTCTATGTCCATGTTAATTTGCTGGAGGTTATGATATCGATATGTATATATATATACAATTGTATAATTAATGGTTATATATGATATGGATATGGTTATGATATGGTGATATATGGATGAAATGCATAATCAATAGTATCAACTGCATCCATATCAAGATGATGAATTATGATAATCAAACGCGTATTATGAACTGAACTTGCTATATTTAATATCCTGATATATGGATAGATTCTGATACTATGATGCTGGACCAGGATTTGCGGTTTGTGGATGATTTGGCTTATTTTTCCAACGGGAAAGGAACACAAGAAAACAGAAAATGTTGGCCCCCCAGGAAACACATATGACCGCCCAAATTTGAAGGTACTTAACCTTGACACACACACGCACACACGCGCACACACAGTTGTGATGAGAAAACATCCCCAAAATAGGCACCAAATGTGGCCATCAAAACATGACGTGTAGACCTGACACAGCCACTTCTCCTGACCCTGCCCTAGGGCTCCTCGAAACTTTTGTGGGCGCGAAAAACTTTCGAAAACCTGCGCCATGGAGTGCTGCACCTGCGAAGTTGCTTTTCCACCTGGAGAAATTGGTGGAAAGGAGCTGGAAGATGGCGTTGTCGAACTGCCAGAACGATGTGGGACTGGCGAGAACTTTGGACCTTGAAAATCTGATGAAAAAGTGGGGTTTAAGCATCAAAGATGGTGACTTAACCATCAAAAATGGAGGTTTAAGGGGAATATAATGGGATTGTATAAGATATTTTGTTGGTAAACCCTGGCTGCCTAGTCACCATCCCCTAGTCTTCACCATTTTTAATGGGTGGAATTTTAACCATTCGCAAATGGATGCATTTATGGTCGGTTGATGACATTGGGTTGCCACCATGGCATTGGGTTGAAGCCTCAAGAAAGCTGCCAACTTCCACCAACAAGTCGAAGAGTACACCTGAAACCCATACCTCGTAATCCTCACATCATCAAATTCAGATCTTTTTCACTGTTTTCAACATTCAATTTTTCCCAATCTTGATATTACTATAAATCATCAATGGGTAAATCATCTTTAAATAGTAGCCATTGATGATTACCATTGTAAATAACCATCAATGGGTAAATGGGTAAATATCATGGGTAAACGGGTAAACCATTCATTTTTCCAATCTTTTCACCAACAGCATAAGCTAATGGGGTCTTCAGCCCAGAAAAGCTCCGGTGTCCAGTGCAGGTGCCAGGTCAGGTTCAACGAGGTTCCGGAGAAGGTTCCGGAGAAGGTCTGGGAGGTTTTGGTGCAGAGCCAGATCATGTTCAACAGGGTTCCGGGGAACAAATCCAAGGGTTTAGATTATTTAAATGACTGTTTAGGATGATTTAACTGGTATCTATTGCAAGTCAAGCTTCTTGGTCTCTTTCCAGCACTTTGTCGTTTCGCATCACATCTTTCATGAACTCGTCACAGCTAGCATGGCCGCAGCGTCCCTGGCTCCAACGCACAACCGCGAATTCATTTCCATTCATTTCCAATGTCACGAGGACGAGCGGGTGGTGGACCCAAAAATGGATGGGATTTTTGGATTTTTGTTGAGTCCTCCATTATGGCCGAGTGGAACTTAGGCCATCAGCCACAGTAGCTTCGGATGGGATTTGGAGCAGCTCTGAATTTGTTCGGTTTCTGGTGCGCAGTGCCAAAAGTGTCGTTTGGCAGCTTTGGTGAGTTTGGGACATGTTTTTTTGGTGGCCAACTGATAGTTATGACCAGGCTTGATACGACGCTCACATTATTTGGTTGGACCCTTATATGTACCGCTATTCTGTGGAATTTATATACACAAGTAGTACCGCGCAAGGCGGTGGCGGAAGTTCAAAAATAGGAAACCTATAGGAGAGGTTGGTTGTTGTGAATCACGGATGGCAGAGCAAATCCACTGATGGACCGAAAGAAGGTTGGGGTCTCCTCTCTTTCTCTCTCTTTCTCTCTCTTTCTCTCTCTTTCTCTCTCTCTTTCTCTCTCTTTCTCTCTCTTTCTCTGTCTTTCTCTTTCTTTTCTGACTATCTACCTACCTACCTACCTACCCACCTACCTACCATACCTACCATACCTACCATACCTACCATACCTACCATACCTACCATACCTACCATACCTACCATACCTACCATACCTACCTACCTACCTACCATACGTACCTACCTACCTACCTACCTACCGACCGATCCATCTATGTATCTATCTATTTTCTATCTATCTATCTATCTATCTATCTATATCTATCTATCTATCTATCTATCTATCTATCTATCTATCTATCTATCTATCTATCTATCTATCTATCTATCTATCTATCTATCTATCTATCTATCTATCTATCTATCTATCTATCTATCTATCTATCTATCTCTCTCTCTATCTCTATCTCTATCTCTCTATCTCTCTATCTCTCTGTCTGTCTGTCTGTCTGTCTGTCTATCTATCTATCTATCTATGTATCTGTCTATCTGTCTATCTGTCTACCTGTCTATCTGTCTATCTGTCTATCTGTCTATCTGACTATCTGTCTATCTACCTATCTATCTAGCTAGCTAGATATCTAGCTATCTAGCTATATATCTATCCATCTATCCATCTATCCATTCACTATCTACCTATCTATCTATCTATCTACCTACCTATCTACCTATCTATCTATCTCTCTCTCTCTCTATCTCTATCTCTCTATCTCTCTATCTCTCTGTCTGTCTGTCTATCTATCTGCAGGCTTGAAAACGAAGCTATTCTGCGAGACTTCCTCAGTTTTTGAACTTGACAAGAACAAAAACGCAGCAATTCAGCGAGACTTCCTCAATTTTTGCATTTGACAACATCAAAAACGAAACAAGTCTGTGAGACTTCTTCATTGTTCGAAATTGACAACATCAAAAACGAAACAATTCTGCGAGACTTCCTTCAAAAATGGAACGTTGAGTGCAGAGCTGACGGCCTCGTGCCAATGCGTTTTGCGATTTTTCCACTCCACCTGTCTAAAGTACTGGGCCTGCCACGAAAACGTGATGCCAGGTCATACGAAGTCCTGCACCTGTCACGCAAAATCATCTCAGCAAACCTGAAGATCTGAGGCTCCAAAATCAACCCCTCTCAGGAAATCAGCGCCCGGACTTCCTGACAGCTCTGATGAAGATGTCTCTTGTACTGCGCCTGCCACGGAAAATGCATTTTTGCAGATCCTCTTCAAATGTCCGACGCCTGCCATCGTTTTTGAAAATGCTACAAAACCCTCACATTTTGCTCACTTTTGACAAGGTGCACAATCCCGTGCGCCTGCCACGCGAAACGACATCTGAACGTCCAAAAGTGGGTCCGAGCATGTGGTGTTTTTCACATTTTGACTTCGAAATGCGCTTCGCGCCACAACGGTGTGCACTTTTTCAACATCTCGACTTCCAAAAGTGGTCCGGACCTGGTGTGTTTTGTACATTTTGACTTGGAAATGTGCTTCACGCCACAACGGCGTGCACTTTTTCGACATCTCAACTTCCAAAAGTGGTCCGGACCTGGTGTGTTTTGTACATTTTCACTTGGAAATGTGCTTCGCGCCACAACGGCGTGCACTTTTTCGACATCGCAACTTCAAAAAGTGCTCTGAACCTGGTGTGCTTTATACATTTTGACTTCGAAATGTGCTTCGCGCCACAACGCCGTGCACTTTTTCGACATCTCAACTTCAAAAAGTGCTCCGAACGTGAGGTGTCTTGAGCTGTTTCACTTGCAAATGTGCTTCGCGCCACAAAGGCGTGCAATTGTTCATCTCTCATCTGGCCCGTTGCTTTAGCGAGCCTACTTTTCGACCCTCCGAAGCCACAAATCATTGGAAAAACGCAGTGTTTCGCGACTTTCCTGCCTTTTCGCGTGCCTGGATCTTCTTTCTTCTGAGACTTTCTCTTCTGAGACTTTCTCTTTTGTGATCTTCTCTTCTCTTCTCTTCTCTTCTCTGCTCTTCTCTTCTCTTCTCTTCTCGTCTCCTCTCCTCTCCTCTCCTCTCCTCTCCTCTCTTCTCTTCTCTTCTCTTCTCTTCTTTGACTCTTCCCACCTCTGCTTTTCATCTGTCCATATTGTCGGAAGTTTGACATCTAAACTTCCTTCGATAACCCATAAGTATTTTTGGATGGATAATAAGGATTACTGCTGCAGAAAGGCTGTGCCCAGCAATCAAGTGTTGGTGAATTGTAGCCATGTCATCAATGGTTGATGCAAAGAAACTGAGATATCCATGCGCTAATTTATGCCTACCACTTTTGGTGTAATAGATGGCTTCAATCGGGGTGGCCATATGGTAGCCATATTGGGGTTACCTCGTATTTGGTTATCCCATTATGCCCAGTTGTTGTAGCAATTGCGCAAGACAAATACAAACTTCAATGGGAAAGACAACCTGAAGAAATTGTGGTTTGACAACCCTTGGGGCCATCGAGAATACCCAGTGTAAAAAAAGGTGGATTATCTCTCACATTGTGTCGGTGACAGGTGTGGCCGCTACTTGGATGCCATTTCAATCACGCACATTCTCACCTTGGCGCAGCGCCTTGACAGGGAAGAGCCAATGAGATTCTGCTTCTGGGATTAAGTGGGATTGAATGTTATGGCGTGGATTATTCCCTGAAAGTGTAGGTAGGAGTTGGTCCCAATGGACACTGCAACGATTCAGCCAATGCTACGGCCTGCTCCAGACTAAGGCCAAGGCGCAGGCCGGATGATCGGGGCTCAATTGGAAGTGGTTCATACATGTTTTTACCACCCATTTCTGCTAAAATAGGGGATGGTTCATTCTTGTTGATAAATCACCTTTCTGATGACACCCAGCTTGTGAAAAATAATTCGAGTATACCCGAGTAATATAGTACTATGATGTACTACTGTGTGTGTATATATATATATATATGCTTGTGTGGGTCATATCTCCATCCTTGTTGCTTTAACCCAAGCTTATAGATGGGATAATCTATTGAATGGGGACCTAGCAACCAAGGTTACCAACCACATACGATCCGGAGGATGATCCTCCAAGTTGTATTCCCCAGAATAGCGAAGTTGAGGATGGTTCGTTCTTTGGTTTATCACCCTTAAGACTGATAAGATGCTAAGTGGCTAGGAGTTGACCAAGGTTTATCACTGTTGTTCGCAATCCCCATAGAGGTATAAGCAATCAACAGGGTTTTACTGTAGCAACTCGGAAAAAATCCCTGCAGGCAGCTCCTCAGCAGCCTACAACTGCGCCACCTGTCCTTGGGGAGTTTTGGCAGGGCCGTTCACAAAGGGGGACTGCCAAGGGCATTGATTTTCCCCAACAGCGCAAGCTAATAGGGTCTTCAACCCAGAATAGCTCCGGCGTGCACTGGTGCAGGCGCCGGGTCAGGACGAGGTTCCGGAGAAAGTTCCAAAGGTTCCGGAAGTCTGGGAGGCTTTGGTGCAGAGCCAGGTCAGGTTCAACAGGGTTCCGGAGAATGTTCCGGAGAAGGTCTGGGAGGCTTTGGTGCAGAGCCAGGTCAGGTTCAACAGGGTTCCGGAGAAGGTTCCGGAGAAGGTTCCCGAGAAGGTCTGTGAGGTTTTGGTGCAGAGCCAGAGGCCTGCGGAGCCTAAGGCTGCTCTAAAGGCGGCAGTTGTGGCAAAGGCCAAGCCAAAATCCAAGGCGAAGGCCGAACCTCGTTCATCTCCGGACCTGTCATCGACTCCGAGCCGCCCAGGGGCTACAATTGAGCGACCGCTCATTGTTCTTGATTGGCACAGGACGTTGTCTTTCGAAGCTCAGGGTGGTGGATCCTACGTGCCCGAGAGGGTGAAGCAGGCGCTCCGACGAGCTCAGACATTGGGCTACGATTTGGGCATTTGCTCTTTCGCCTCGGCGCCAAACACTCAGTCCAGGGTGCTTCGTGAAGCACGTGATCTTGAGACTGGGCTGGTGAAATCTTTCAGGTTCATCCACGTGGTTAACCGGAAGTTCAATTCGGATCCTGCTCGTGACAGGCCATCGCTCACAGGCTGCGCCACTTCTAAGGCTGAAGAGGTTTGCCGTGTTCCGGGAGGCTTTGGTGCAGAGCCAGGTCAGGGCTTTGGTGCAGAGCCAGGTCAGGGTTCCTTTTTGGGGAGGCTTTGGTGGAGGCAGGTCAGCTTCAACAGGGGGCCGGGGAAGGTTCCGGAGTAGGTTCCAAGAAGCCTTGGTGCAAAGCCAAGTCAGGTTGAACGGTTTCCGGTTTCCGGAGAAGACTGCAGAAGCCAAGCCAGGTCAGGTTCATCGCTTGGCTTCGCAGCACGCTTCAGAAAGATTTGTAAAAATAAAACGTTGCGGCTATTGGGGATACCACCGAAGCTTTTTTTTGGTTTCCAACTTCTGCCATCTGCGCGTCCCGCATCGTCTCAGGAAGATGGTGGACCAGCTCTCGGAGGTGTCGACCGATCCGTTGCCCTTTCTGAGTCAGGACCTGGCGGAGGAGTCGAGGCAACGGCGCAGCGATCGCACCGGGCAGGAGACGGCTTCGCCGCAGGAAACGCGAAACGCCGCGAAATGTTGGGATATGTAGGTTATATACATTGGTAACCCTACAGTATAATATATATTCTACTGTGTATATATATATATACATACATACATACATACATACATACATACATTTCTATGGAATATATATATATATATATATACACATATATATATATATACACATATAATACGTATGTTAACACACACACATATAAATATATATATATATATATATATGTATATATATATAAAGACCTGTGAGACATGAATGCATACATAAATGTTGGAATGTAACCCAGCTACCAGCTGATTTCCAAATTTTAGTTGGATCATGCCAGCAAAAAACATGCTCACAATAGCTGGTGGATTTGAGTTACCTAATCAGGTCACACCAGGTCTGTAAAATGAGTTTCGGAATGCCAAAATCTCGGGATTTTCCCGATTTGGCTGATTTTTGGAGGGTTTCCAGGTCCAATTCTTGAAGGTCCAAAGTTTGCAAAGCTGTGACAGGAGATCATGTCTCAAAGCGCCAGCATCAGTATGGCGGTAGTGTCCCAAAGAATCACCAAGACGGACACGGAAATTCTCCGCGGTGTACGACTTCGGGATACGCTGACACCTGGATATGAAATTTAGTGTTGGCTCGTTGTCCTCAGGTTCTAAGAAGGTTGACATGAGAGGCAAATGCTGACCCAGTTTGATCAGGTGATGAAAACTCTTGGATCTTTTTGGGGTTGAATACAAGAGGAATATCAAAGATATCACGACTGGATTGGTTTCGATTCGGCGGTTTGCAGTTTCCACTGTTTCCACCAGAGATGAATGGACCTTTCAGGAAGGGATGTGGACGACTCTGGCGATGTAATCCCATGAAGTTGAAGCCACAAGCGCGGAGTGCACTGTTCAAGATGTCCAGGTGTGGAACTATCCTGGAAGCGAAGCTAAACCCAGTGGTGAATGGTTAGGGGAAAAACTTCGAATGTGCCTTAGATCTTCCATTTTTGGTATCAAGAAAACGTGCTAAAATGAGATTGGTTTCACTACAAAAGGCAATCCATCCATTTTGGGGGAATTCAACCAGCGACAGCGACATGTGCAAGTCACGGCACCCTGTGGATTTCAATGAAGCGGGTTTCTGAGGCCTGCAAAGCTGCATATTGATTCATCAATCTGAAGGTACAATCATCCAATGTTCAAAGGGGCAAACCCCACTTTTGTTGATGATGTCCCCAACCTTTGTACTGTAGCATTTTTTGAGCGTCCTTGGCTTAGAAACCAGCATCAAGCAAACCAGTTCGTGCAGATTCTTAGTATTCTTTGCACTAGATGAGGAAACCTTAGTCTTCATTAATCATTAAATCACCATTTTTCACCTGTTGGAAACTCATGTTGAAAACCAGTTCGCCTTTTTTAACCACAAAAACCACCATCTGCCAGGCCAGTGCCGTCCTTGGACATCTTTCTATCGCACACCTGGTGCTCCAAGGGGAGAGCGAAGATTTTGTCCTTGCTACTGCAGAGCGGGTGTAGTACAGCTTTGCTGCCGCTTGGGATGATCGAGTAGGTCGTTCTCCACCCTGGGAATAATGGTAAGGGAAATCATCCCCTTTTATGGCTGCAAGATTCAGGCTAGTGAAATATGATAATTTACCCATATGTATTGTGGTTAAAACAATGCAATGTTTACCAACCCCCAGTCATCATAAATATATAGGTGGTATAAGCTTACCATTCTCATTTTTGGGTGTTTTATGGCATTGTCTTAGCCACATTATAACCAACATCATGAGCTTCGAAATCGGACTTTGGGGGTTTCCCCAAGCTACTGGGGGGTTTCTCCCGCGGATCGTTTTTTTGTAGTTAATGATATCGCCTAGTTCGTAAGTCCCTGATTCGTGGGGTTGTCTCATTTATAAATGGCTTAATAACCAGGAGGTTACTAAGCAGTCATTACGATTTATGGGATGATCATCCTAAGTAGTAATATATCCATATCCACATATATATATACATACATTTATATATATATATATACATGCATGCATGCATGCATGCATCCATCCATCCATCCATACATACTTACATACATACATACATACATACATACATACATACATACATACATACATACATACATACACATATATATATATATACATTTACATATATATATATACATACATCCATACATACATACGATATATCCGACATCAATGGGGGATCGATGGCGATCAAACCAACATAAAAATAGGAAAACATATTGACTGGGGGCCAGCAGGATCAACCCCTTGGAAATCATCGATGGGCCATTTTCGGATACTAGGTATATGTTCAATTGCCAGAGTGTACTGTGCATAGTGGGATCAGCGAAAGTGAACCAATTTATGGGCTATACATATATATATATATATACATATACACGTATATCAATGATGATTGGCTGTGGATAAAATTTGGGCATATTTATGGCCATCTAATAATGCTGGATTCAACCAACCATCAATATACAATGGGGTATAACGGTGAGATAGTGGGATAGAAAAGCAACACTATGATATGGGTTTGTAATATAAGAATTGGGGATGCTCTAAAGTAGCGAGGGGAGCAGGATGATCGACCGCATTAGATGTTTGGGGTGCCCTATTTTCAGACAAACTCAAATGAGAAGCAATGGGATGAGTTACTTGGGTAGTCTTCGAGCTGCGTCTGCTTCGAAAATGGGGGCTCAAAATTGCCACGGCTCACTTCATAGGGCAAGACTAGACCTAGCCTGAGTTCAATGTACTTTTGGTGTCCATCATTTGTTTTCTTTAACCGTGTTTTTGAACGGCTCGTTTGGTTGTCACCTGAGGTTCTGGTTCTTTGGTGTCGCACTGGCGCTGGCGCTGTGTTTCGCTGATGCTTTGCCCATGCCCTTTTGGTATTCTGCCAACATGAGCCACTTCAAAGAGATGTGTCCTCTGGGTCCATGGGTGGCTTGTTTGCTATGGAGTGCTGCGAAATTGCTACAGTATGCTGTCTTTGCACCTGCTTGATGTTCTGTTGAATCACGGGAACATAGAGAAAATAACTACAAAAATTGGTCTTATATCCAACCACAAGCTCTTCCTCCATAATTTTCACCATACATCCCACATTTACTTTGTGCATTCGAATGGTGCATGTGCTTGACATGGGGCTAACGCATGCAAAAAGGGCCCCTCACAAAGATAGAACCCCGTTTTTTCCAAGCTTTCTGACGTCGGACGTTGGTCGTGGTTGGTCGATTTTTTTGCTCTTTTCAGGTGATGCTCTTTGGTTTCCTGGGAACTTTGTTGGGTCTTCTTCTTTCGCCCTACGTCTCCTGTTTCAACCGTGACATGTGCTTCGTGGATGCGGCCTGCATTCATCAGACCAATAAGACCTTGATGCAACGAGGTGCGGTGGTCATTCTGCGGTCATTCTACGGTAGCGGCCAGTGGCGATTCGCCTAGTTGATCCCCCTGAATGGTAAGTCCCTTGTAGAAAATTAGCTATTGAACATGGCCCATAGAAATGGTTGATTTACCGACATTAAACCTATTAAAGATGGTGATTTTCCAGTTCGCAAACTGTAATTTTACCAGGCCGGGTAAATCCCATTAAATCCCATTAAACCACCATAAAATCCCATTAAATCACCATTTTCCTATGGTTTTCCTATGGTTTACCAGGCCGGATAATTTTTTGTGGGGCAATCCGAGCTCCGCTATCCCAGTCCGCCGGGTTAGATGATCCAAGTAGCACCGAGCGTTTGGACCTGGGAAAAGTCGATGGATGTCGTCGACTTTTTATGGTGGTTTAATGGGATTTCATGGTAATTACCCTCTGGTTTATGGTAGATATAATATGTATATATATATATACATATTATATCTATATAGTCTATAGTATTCATGAATATCTATATCATGATATATCTATAAAAAAATCATGGATTAATATTACCATATATGGTTTATGGTACCATCTGATTATTTAACATAGCCATGGAAAATCCCGAAAATAAATGGAGGTTTGTAGCTGGGAAAATCATCTATTTCTATGGGCCATTTTCCATGGCTATGTTAAATAACCAGAGGGGATAAAGAGAGGTAAACCACAGACTTTTTTCCCAAACTCACATGAATTCATGGGGTAAAAAAAGCAAACATAACTAGGGGTACCACTTGTCGCATTGAAATGGCTGAAACGAACTCAAAATGGGACGCGGGACGTGTTCCACAATGCTCGGCAAATGTAACTTTCAGCTACTGACCAGTGACTAGTTCGACTGACTGTTCTTGGTTGGTCCGAACTTAGCTTGATAGGGGGATGAGCGTATTGGGGATGGTTGATACAAGCCATTATGGTGCTGACTTGGGGGATGGTGATGAATTATTTCATGGGCTTTACCACTTACTACAGTTATCCATTAATTGTCACAATAAGATATAATAGCTATCCAACAATTATCCGTTAATTGTATTCAATGATTACAGATGTCTTCACTGCTTGACACTTCGAAGAAAAAATAAACTTGGTGGCTCATCCAACTTGGTGGCTCATCCCACTTAGTAAGTGGGTTATAACCCCAGTGATTTACATGGGATAAGGAGGCTTAATCCATTTGTAACTGGGGTTTAAAGCCACTTTCCAAGCGGGATGAGCCACCAAGCAGGCTTCACCCCATCCATCGCAGGTATCAACGGCATTGGGGGCTTTCTTCTGGTGTCCAGGGAGCTGCGAATCCTCTGGAGCCAGCCGCCCCTCACCCCATCAGTTGGGATATCCACAATGGGTTCACTTGGTTACCCACTGGTAAACTAACATAACTATGGAAAATCACCATTTTTAATGGGTAAATCAACTATTTCTATGGCCATTTTCAATAGCTATGTTTGTTTGGCAGAGGGTACTGCACTTGGAAGTATGCAGAACTTAACTTGATGTAATCAATATCCGATTGTTCTGGTGAAAAAGTCAACATGTCTATAACTTTGGTGTTTTTCCCCACCTGCCAGGTGAGGGTTTTTAGATTTTATGTCAGTTGCCTCCTCCTCCTCCTCCTCCTCCGCCTCCTCCTGCCTCGTCCTCCTCTCCTCCTCCTCCTCGTCCTCCTTGTCATCCTTGTCGTCCTTGTCGTCCTCGTCGTCCTCGTCGTCCTTGCTCAACTGCGACCCGCGATCCACAGTGTTCTCTGCCGGACCTCAACCACGACCACCCACGCCCAGTGTTCCCTGCCGGACCTCAACCACGACCATCCACGCCCAGTGTTCCCTGCCGGACCTCAACCACGACCATCCGCGCCCAGTGTTCCCTGCCGGACCTCAACCACGACCATCCGCGCCCAGTGTTCCCTGCCGGACCTCAACCGCGACTTCCAGATCGCAGTGGGCACTGCCGGACCTCAACGGCAAGAAAGTCAGAAAAGATGTCAGATAGAATGTCAGAAGATATGTCAGAAAGAATGTCAAAAGATATGCCAGACAGAATGTCAGAAGATATGCCAGAAAGAATGTCAGAAGATATGCCAGATAGAATGTCAGAAGATATGCCAGATAAAATGCCATGAGATATGCCAGATAGAATGCCAGAAGATATGCCAGATAGAATGCCAGAAGATATACCAGATAGAATGCCAGAAGATATGCCAGATAGAATGCCAGAAGATTTGCCAGATAAAATGCCAGAAGATATGCCAAAAGATATGCCAGAACAATGCCAGAAGATATGCCAGATAGAATGCCAGATAGAATGCCAGAAGATATGTCAGATAGAATGCCAGATATGCCAGAAGATATGCCAGATAGAATGCCAGATAGAATGCCAGAAGATTGCCAGATAGAATGCCAGAAGATAGAATGCCAGAAAATATGCCAGAAGATATGCCAGATAGATATGCCAGAAGATATGCCAGATAGATGCCAGATAGAATGCCAGAAGATATGTCAGATAGAATGCCAGAAGATATGCCAGATAGAATGCCAGAAGATTTGCCAGATAGAATGCCAGAAGATAGAATGCCAGAAGATATGCTAGATAGAATGCCAAATAGAATGTCAGAAGATATGTCAGATAGAATGCCAGAAGATTTGCCAGTAAAAATGTATAAATGTCATGGTGGGGATCCCACGAAGTAAAGTATTTTTTTTTTAAATCAATTTCCTGCAATTGGAGGGGCCAACATGGATCCATTTGTGTGGCCGACGCTGCCGACGCTTGAGGATGCAAACTTTCCGAGGAACTTTACACAAAAAGCGCATGTAGAACCACAACAGCTCATTTCGGGGCATCCATTTTAATAGGATTTTCCATTATAAACCATCCAGCTATCGGGGTACCCCCATTGATGGAAACATATGGAAACTGTTAAGAAACGGTGTTTCATAACATGGCGTCGTTTAACATGTCATCACCCCGGTGAGGTACTTATCGCGTTTGTGGTGCGTATTCGAGGTGGCCACTTACAAGAAAATGAATCCGGGTGGAAACTTGGAAGATTTGGAAGTTGCAGTGCAAAGTTTCTTTTTTTTTTGCAGAGATTAAAATTTTGCCGATAAGTTGCGACATTTAGCGCCACCCTCCAGTCGATGAAGTGAACAGTGGGCAATCTCCTGTGCAAATACGATGTTTTCGGTCCCCATTTTTCTTCAACCCCCAAATATCTCCCAGTTTTTGCCGATCTCCGGCCCTAGCACTTCAGGAAACATTGTCATGGCACCACTGTTTGTTGATGAGAGCGTGTTGTTGAAATATCTGGGAATCCTGTTGTGCACTGTGACCTATTGGATTATCCGCTGCAATTCTGACTCCAGCATCGTCTTACCTGGGACGATGGTTTGCAGCCTGTGACTTGGTGTCAGAAGTTGAGCTCCGAATTTTGGGTCATGGGAGGCCCAAAATTATCCAAAAGTCCATTTATGTTTTGTTAATCTTGATCTTTCAGGTGAATCGCTTGAAACATAAGATTGATTCCATCCTCATTTGAGATGATTGTAATATTGGTGTTTCCTAAATTAGGCTTATATACCCCTAAATCATCCATTTTAACTGGATTTTCCATGATTTTCCATTATAAACCATCCATTTTGGGGTACCTCCATTTATGGAAACCACCATATAGACTATTATGCATATTCCCATTTTCATTCTTATCCATTGGGACCATGCGTAGTATGGCACAGTGGCAGAGCGCTTGCAGCATTCATGGAACATAGTCATAGCCTCTCGAAATCTTTCGAAGCTGTTTATATAATTTGATATACTGATTGATGGGAATTTCATTATCCCAACTGACTTTTATATTTTTCAGAGGGGTTGAAACCACCAACCAGTATAGATAGGTTATCTGAAATGATCAGGTTCTGAAATGATAAGGTCCCCCATAGCTATCGAGTGAAAAATGGTGGAAGAAAGGCATCAGCATCTTCCGGTCAGCCTACGGTGAGGCCGATACTGATCACCATTCATTTCGATCGAGACTGGGAAAGCGATTTGGATCGAGGGTTTTGATGGGTAAATTGAGGATTTAACTATGGAACTTTGAGGATTTAACTATCAAAATTGAGGATTGAACTATGGAACTTGAGGCTTTAAATAGGGAAATTGAGGATTGAACTATTGAAATTGAGGATTGAACCGGGGAAATTGGAAATTTTTTCTTCCCTCCGGCAATCAAAGATGGCAAGCTGGAAAATCCCCTAAGTTTGGAGGTTTTTGAATGGTGGATTTGCCATTGCTATGTTTAACTATCCTCAACAAATCCTCAGATTTTGCGGCCAGAAGTTTGTAGTTTTAACCGGCAATCTTTGTTTGATCTCCGTAACACTGTTGTCGTCATGTTTGCCAGACTAGCACGATAAGAAATGGTCCACTGACTGAGTGGTCGGAGTTGTTGTGTCAAAAGGAATCTTGCCCAACCAATGGGAACCAATGGCCCCAAGCAGCATCTGCCAGGACGGAATTTCATGATGAAACATCAACTCTTTTCTCAATTTCAGAATTTTGATCTTGACGCCGCAGAATGCTCCTGCGAGTCGGACCGGGAGTTTGTGTATGCGGCCATCAGCCACTTGTATGGCAGCAAGGAAGCCTTTACTCAATATGTGAGAGGACCACTTCAACGAGAACTGTTGGAGCCGATCTGCCAAAATGTCTTGCCGCGGTGCTACACAGAGCTCTTGACCACGCCTTTTCTGAGTTTGTTCCTAGATTTTACCTTGGCACTCTGGAAGCAAGGGGCTCCAGTCGAAGATTTGGTCATCTATGCTGTGGCTTGGAAATTGCTGTTTTTTTGCGTATGAGCAGCATGGAAATGCTGTGGATCCGTGTGGGCAGTATGGGTTCACTCTTGCCCCACAAGCTCAACAAAAACCCAACCGATGATAAGGGGTTGACCACCAACTCATCTTTTTCAATGGGGATATACAAATTAGACCCTCACAGGTTTTGAATTTTCTTCAGACTATTCTAAGATTCCCCAATGTTTGGAACATGACATGTTTAATTTTCCCCAATCGTTGGGATGATGATCCAATCTGACGAACTCCATCATTTTTCAGGGGGGTAGGTTGAAACCACCAATTAGTTTATGTATATGATAAACCATAATAATCCCCATTAACTATAGTTATATATACCATAAACCATTGTTAAGCCATTTATAAACCAACCAGTCAAGTTTTTTTTCGTCAATCTGCGGTGACCAAATCGGGCGCCGAAGCGCCGCATGCCTAGTCGCCTTTCATCAGGTGTCCATGTTTGGGCTCGCGACCTGCTTGCACATCCCTGCAGTTCTCACGATGATGATCCTCCTTGGTGACCGATTTGCCGAACCTTGGGATGGCTTTTGGGGCTGTTTCCTGAATTATCTGCAGACATTCCTGGTCTTTCTTGCCATCTTAGCCCATTCCGTTGCCGGCATCTTGGCGGATCGATCTGGTTGTGACTGATGGATTTGTTCAACATGGTGTTCTACTTGTGTCTTACTGGTGCTAAACGCAGGGAATTTGAGGAAATGATCCATAATCACTAGTAACAATCATCCCAGCAACCCCCAGCAACCCATCCATTCCCATCCATTCCCTACGTTTAGCACCAGTAAGTTGTGAAATCATGTGAAATAGATCATTGAATTTCTTAGAAAGCTTGGGATCATGGTCATGCCCGAAGCATGAGGGATCTGAAAGACTTGGTATGTCCCAAGTCTGGTGAGTTTTTTGTCCGACTATCTGATGGGCATAGAACGATGGGAATTTTAGCAACACTAGTGACACTAGGTGACACTAGTGGGAAGCTCATTATGTCCCCAAATCGTGAAACGGTAGAAGCAACAATGAGGCATGTAACACCAATTGACATTGGGAATGCAAGAAACAACAGCAACCAATATCCCAACACAGGTGCAGTCGCAACATTGATTTGAAGCTAGAAGCTAACAGGATTACTGTAATTCGTCGGTCATTCCAGCACACATGCATGCATACATGCAGTCATGCATGCACACTTGCCTACCCTTCTACCTACCTACCCACCCACCCACCTACCTACCTACCTACAAAATCCTACAAATACATAATAATACATATATACATAGAGGCACGGCTACAAAGATACTTCATTAGATATATAAATACATAGATGAATAGATTCATAGATGCATAGATACATAGGTTATAGTTATAGCTATAGTTACAAATAGACTTATGTAGATCCATATACATGAATACATAGATAGGTACATGTACATAGATGCATAGATTAGATCCGTAGATACATAGATGCATATATACATACACACACACATAACATGCATGCACACATTAGACTAGATTAGATTAGTTTTAAATTCGATAAATAGATAAATAGATCGATCGATTGATCAATAGATAGCAGATAGATGCACAGACAGATTGATAGACACACAGTCATACCTCATATATATATATATACATATCACAGATAGATAGATAGATAGATAGATAGATATATATATAATATAACTAATGTACATGTATGCATATACAAAGAGAGACGGTGGATTGAGGTTTTGTGGTTTGCTTTACCGTGGGAAGCCGGCGCCAGTGGTGGTTCCTCATCGGTGGCTCGGGGAGAAAGGCGACCAGCGGTTACCATGACTGGGAATGGTAACCATAGCACCTAAAAAAGTGGTGACTTTAGGGATGGTTTACTATTTACAGTATGGTGATACATTAACTATTAATGGCTCACTATAATGAACATTTTTATTTACTATATACTATTATTAATGGCTCACTATAAGTGGTTATTATTGGTGGTCACTAACCATCCAACCATCCCTAAAATCACAACTTTTTATAGGTGGTATGGTTACCATTCCCATTTTTTGGTGGTCTATGGCATTGCTTTACCCACATTACTATCAATTTGTACTACAAGGGCTTATGATGGAATGGCTTACTATTTATGGTTACTATGAATATGACTGTTTAGTATTACCGGTTATGAACTTGGTAAATGAATTCCCGCCTGAGGGTGCAAGATTGGGGTTCTATGACAATAACCCGTATAACTTGGGAAATGGGGCCGCATCACCATGGTCATATATCCACTTAGTTCACTGGAACTGCATCCCCGAGTACTGAAAACGACATGTCCAGAAAAACCAGTGTCTAGGCATAGCATATCATAGCATCCTATTTATCGATGTGTATATATAATTGTGTTCAAACAATTAATGAATGAAAGTAGATGTAAATCATGTAGAACATCAATCCCGGATTAATAAACAATAGTTCATGAAAGTTCATGAACTATTGGGGCACAAACAGCGATCGCATTTTTGTCGAATGTGGCCCCGGTAGCCTCCAATTGTTCACAGCCCAGGATGTTTCTTCTTGTTCCTGGCCATCCGGATCTTGACCGTCAAACTCAGGGACAAGTTGCAGGGTCAACGGAAGCGACTTCAGAAAGCAAGATCCTTCCAATCCGAACCGTGACTCCCCGTGACAGCGGAATTCAAGATGAAGAATCAGGAAGTGAACGTCACATTCTATGGTTACTGAAATTGGCCCTTGATTTCCTTGATTCTTCAGCTCGCAAAAAATCGTAAAGTATGCCAATGTTATGCCTCCCAAAGGGACAGGCTGCCTAGTATCGTGCCGTGTTTGGATCAGTGTGGATGAAGGCCCTAAGGTTGGCCGCGGTTTGGGATGTGAGCCACTGCGAATGGCCTGTCGTTCATGTTGGTGACATGGCCCGAAACCTACCCGAAACGGTGTCATGAAACGTGGGGAAATCCCCCAAGAATGGAGGCTTGAATGGGAAAATCATCTATGAATTTCGAAAGAATATTTCATCAATCTGTCACAACCATAGTCATAGTGAGTATTTTTTTGTCAATAGATGTTCGTCCCCTATCGGTCCCCTATCGTGTTTTCCAACCCATCAACTTGTCAGTTGCTCACAGGGAAACCCAATCGTACAGGATCCACATCAGGTCAGCAATTGGCAGAGTTCAGTTGCGCAAGCGCCAACGCTTTGGACAAGTTGAAACACTGCCGCGCTGTCCAACGAACCCTTTTTGGCAAGCTACATAAGCAATAGACAAAAACCATCAAATACCATTTTCAAGAGGACTGTGATGATTTTGCCCTTCTTTTTCTAGTTCGATCCGCAGCTTCGAGATTTCAGCGACATGTCAACCCATGAGTTCCCACAACGATACCCTATCCCAGAATCGGTTGAAGCAGGACATGCAGGAGATGTATCTCCAAATCCATTGAAATCCATTGAAATCCTATGGAGTCCTATGAAAATCATTGAAATCCATTGAAATCCTATGGAGTCCTATGAAAATCCATTGAAATCCTTAGTATTTGATGCGAACAAAACCGACATTTTCCCAGAAAAACCAACCCGTTGAATCCATTCACGGTGGCCAGACGTCACTTCTTCGCTGGGCGCTGCCGCTACTCTCAGGGCTGGTGGTTCCCCACACCTGGTGGAATAGAGACTGCAGGGGATATCATTGATCTGATAAATGATTGTTGATTGATGTTGATTGGTTGTGAAATGTGGGCTATACCGGCTATACCTAAAACCTGATTGATGTTTATTATGTTCATTGGGGGTTATGAACTAACCCCAGGAATACCTAGGAATAGCTGTTATCCAGCCAGCATCTCATGGAAGGGTATTTTGGGTCGGATTTCGAGCTGAGCATGGGACAAGTCTCTCTATCTCTCTCTCTCTCTCTACCCTCTGGTTATTTAAAATAGCCATGGGAAATGGCCCATTTATAGATGGTTTTACCTATTAAAAAATGTGATTTTCCATGGCTATTTTAAATAACCAGGTGGTACATATAGAAAAGACATATATGACCGTCATATATACAAAATCATATGTGTCATATTAGTGTATATCATATACAACATGTCATACTTTCCTCCTTTTCAAGTCGTTTGTTTCTTTCTCTGATTTGAGCATCACCCCGGCCCTTCCTCAAGGCTCGTGCACGCGAGGAGTTGGGTTCTCAAACTTGGTTCGTTCGTTCCCAGTGGTGGGAAAAATTACCTTTGAAAGCACATGAAAACACCATCTTTTGGCCCAATGGCAAATGGTTGGTGAATGGTTGGTAAATGGTTAGTACATGGTTGGTAAATGGTTGAATGGTCGGAGAATGGTTGGAAAATGGTTAGTTATATAGTTGCTGGCTTGTTGATCAAATCTTCTCGATCTTAGCTGGAATTTTATTGTGATGCACAATGAAAGTGGTACCCTACAGTGTCTTCAAAGCTGGCTGAAAGTCCGGCACTGGATGTTTCTCGTTCGCTGAGAAGTCATCGAAGGATTTTTTTTTCCTAGATGATTAGATGGTAATTGTTATGGAATTGTATGAAGCGTGGGGAGTGTGGAATGGAACATTTTATGCTCCCCGCAAAATGCAGCATTCCTAAAAAAGGATTGCATACTATGTATTACTATGTACAATGCTACATTTGCTATAGAAATCAAACGGGCTCATCTCCTCAAAATATGGAAATGATGTATATTAAATATACATCATTTCCATATTTTGAGATGAACCTCCATGAGCCGAGCTTGTTTTCTTGGTGCCGAACGGTTCGGCAAGTTCCAGACCCAGATCTGCCGGATATCCCACAGGACAAAAGCCCCCACGGGTCAAACAAATTCTGATAACGAGCAGGGTACCCTACCAGGTACCCATATTTATCCATGTTTCTTAAATATGGACATAGGCCATAGGCGACATAGGTACCTTGGAAAAATATATGTTTCTGATTTAATTCTGATATTTAGGACACCTCCACATTTTTCCGTCTTTTTCATGTTTCTTTCCAAGTGGCCGAGGCTTCCAGTCCTCTGCGACGATCTGGTGGTGCCCGAGAATCGCGAGCCCCTTTGCCCTGGCCAGCCTTTTTTTGAGCAGCCATGGCCAGGTCTGTGGAAACATAGGAAAATCATGGGAAAATAGGAAAATCCAACTATAAATGGAGGTTTATTGCTGGGAAATTCATCTATAAATGAGATTTTCAATTGCCACGTTAGATTACAGGGTAAATGATGATGAAATGATGGATTATAGTTATGTTCGTTGGCTTAGTTTCAGCCCGTGAATACCAAAGAGTTATATCTTCATTTTTTTCGATAATACCCCATACCCATATGCTCCATGTATGGAATATTGACCTACATTTACCCCAAACATCACCCAAATGTAGGTAAATATTCCAGCACCATGGAGCATCTGGGATAATTATTGGAGTTTGGACTTGTCACACAGATGATTGATGGATTCAGATGGATTCGGATCTAGATGAATCCAGATGGATTTACTGTAATGTTGGTAAAACCATGTCATCAACCACCCAAAAATGGGAATGGTAAGTCTATACCACATATATATATACACACATATATATATAAATCATATATATATATTTATGGCGACGACTGGGGGATTGTAAACATGGCATTGTTTTCCCCATGGATTTCGTTTTTTAGATCCCCATCCTGGAGGATTCGAGGATCATCCCGTGGGAAACGCAGCGATGGCAAGAGATGAAACGCAGCAATGGGCCATGGAAGTCACCGGTGATTGTAGCTAGGCCATATCTCATTGTAGTAATGGGCCATCTTTGGGGATGTTTGGGGATGATTGTAGCATGTTTGTAACTGATTTTTTTAATCCCCATCCCCAAAGATACTGGGTATGTCATGATGCCAGTTGCAGCTGTGGAAACACCACGCCTGGAAGTAGGGCTATGACGGGCCTGAGGTGTGTCTTGCTGGTTCCAAAATTGGACAGAGACGAGGCAGGTTAGGATGGAACCAATTAGCTGTAGCTATCCATATGTCCAATAAAAGATGGGGAACCAGTCTGAGCTAACTAAGAGTTTCCCAATCACATGATACTTTTCTGGTGAGTCATATCATGGTATCACCATTATATGGTCATTTATAGATGATTATAACCGATTATATTATAACAAATTATAATATTCCCATTACATAATGGTGACGCAGAAACATCCTGCGGATAGAATAATATGATTAAATATAATCAGTTATGTAATTATCCCATTAATATCATTGGAATGAGCTCATAAATATGTAATATATCAATTCATATATACAGTATACATGATTACATCATATATAACACTAATATTCAGTCCATAAATGTCATCCCATAATATAAATATTTTATGTAATATATATATATATATATCAGATCATATAAAATATATTAAAATGATTACATTGGGATGAGCTTCCCAATTGGATCACTGGACTTGACATATCCTGACATTGCGTCATCTTTAGAGACCAGGTAGCAACAAAAACCAACTCCTTTCGTATCTGGGTACTAAAAATGGGATACACCAATCTCAAAAATATGATAATATATGTTTAGATTGAGTCTGTATATATATATATATGTATATATACATATGTATATATATATATATGTATATATATATGGTAGTTACACATATATATATATGTAGATATAATTAAATATTACAATGACTTAAAGCCTATTCCAGCAGGATTTTAGTTTTCTGCATCTTTCTTTCGGGGTTGCTGGAGTTTGTCCAGATGTTTTACTAAAAGTTGATACTTTGACCGGCATGGATGTGGTCAGGTAGCTATCAATGACCACCAGGGACAACAAGTCTTTGTTGCCCAACGGAGTGAAGAGGTCTGGGGGGTACCAGTCATAGCTATGCTGATTGATGGGTGAAACCAGGATTCTTTTATCAAAATGGGATGATGCTGTAGAGATTCATATATTTCTGGAACGGATTTGACATCACCAAAGTCAACCGGAGTTTTTTTTCTTTAATGGTACATGTACAGGAAAGTAGTAGGGTTTTTACTCTCAGTTCTATATTTCAACCAAGCCATGTCCAGACTTGGTGTTTCAGCCATGCGGAATTCGAAGCTTGGATGATTACGAGCTACAGCTACATGGAAACCATTTGATCCACATCAGTTTTCTCATTTTCAGGAAATAACCACATAGTTATTGGGGTAAAGAATTTGGAGCTACCCTACCCACATTTGGAACTTGCTAGCTGCTAGGCATGTCAAACAAACTTGTTGCCATACCTTGCCATCCCGGATTGAGCTGACGGTAGCTTTAGTCACTTAAGTGCTGAGGATTCGATTCTACCATATGAACAGTGGCTGCTAAACTCCTGTTGGTTGATGATTATAGAGGATTATACTACCTTATGAAAGTTGGTTGATGATTAGTTCGAAGATTATACTACCCAACATATTGGGGATTATTTCATAATCCAAGAACGGAATCCCTATAAACCAACCAGATTTGTCACAGTAACCCCCCCTTTACCAAGCAGTACTGTTTTGGCGATAACGCCGACAGAAGCAGGGGACTTGTGTCCTGAAAACACCACAAAGCTATGGGTTTTCGTTTTTTTTTTTTTTTCGGAGCATTTTTGGAAAGTTGAAAATGGGAAGATCAAGGCACATGATCTACTTACCCAAGGAATCGCTGATCCAAACTGGTCAGGATGACTCCCGCATCGTTCTGATGAGCCCGGTCAGCCCAGATGCGTGTCGATCTACGTGTCGCGCTGTGCGTCGTGGCTAAGCCTTGCCATGCTAAACAATGAAGCATAGATCATCTCTTTCCCCCATATTACAGCCACATGGTGGAAAAAGGGTTCCAAATTGAATAGATACGAACAGATTCACAGGACATTCATATTGATATGAATT